GGTGTGAATGTTTTTGATTACAACCGATTGCAGAAACACATCTGTGTCCCATGAAGTAGCCATGGCATGGCTTGGCTGTCCGAGTGGGATTTCCTTATGTGATGTCCCTGCAAGATTCCTTTGTGGGTTGTTTATTGTGTGCCTTCCAGCAGTTTCTGATTTGTGGCATTCCTAAAGTGAACCTCTTGTGTGGTTTTCCTGACAAAGAAGTTTGTCTTCGCCTTCTGGGAGACTCACCTAACTAAAGTTCCCCAGTGGGCTTCCACGGCCAAGTGGGAGTTTGGGCCCTGGTTTTCCTAGTGTCCTAGTCCAACATGGGCTCCCTGATTTATTCTAGGACCCATTTCCTACAGTAAACGAGAAAGCCGAAAAGTTGTCGTGGTTTGGGTGTTGGACTTCATCCCACACCCCATTGCAGGTGTACCGATTCTCTTCCTGGCGGGTTGCATCACAGTTGAGCTTTTACAATATCTAGAGAAATTCACCTAGTGACAAAACAACACCCTTATTCAGAGAATTTTTTTTTCAACAGGGGATGTTTAAGTCTTCTCCCTCTGGTTCTTTTTAAATATTCTTTTGTTGTGCTAGAGATGAAACAGTGTCCCTCCATATTAGGGCTCTAAGCAAGGACATTGCACCTTTCCTGGAAAGTAAAAAACACAAGTGCTTTAGCTCAAAGTTGAATAAAGAAGGTGCTGTTTTTATTCTTGGGCTTGAGAGTAGATGTTTTGGGTGGTTATCCTTGAATTTATTTATTTATTTACAACATTTATATGCTACTCTTCTCACCCCGAAGGGGACTCAGAGCAACTTTTTTTCTTTTCTTTTTTGTCGTGTCAAGAGCGACTCTCCTGTTGTGAGAGAATTGGCCGTCTGCAAGGACGTTGCCCAGGGGACGCCCGGATGATTTGATGTTTTATCATCCTTGTGGGAGGCTTCTCTCATGTTCTCTCATGTCTCCCTGGATTCGAACCTGCAACCTGTCGGTCTTCAGTCCTGCCGGCACAGGGCTTTAACCCACTGTGCCACTGGGGGCTCCGATGGCTTACAAGATATATATACTTACAATACTTACTTACTTACTTAGGCGATCCCTCGTTGGACGAGTAAGATGGTCTTCCATTATGGATTTCCTTGTGGGTCCGTATGTGGCTGTGGAGCCCTATTCTTGCTCTGCATCTTCTTCCGCAGTGAGGGCATTGGTTTCCAGGTGGAAGGCGGTCCCGGTCGGGGTTGGCTTGACGCGCCTTCCTCCTGGCACGTTTCACTCTTTCACCCTCCACTTGTGCCTCCTCAAATTTTGCAGCACTGCTGGTCACAGCTGTCCTCCAGCTGGAGCGCTCAAGGGCCAGGGCTTCCCAGTTCTCAGTGTCTATGCCAGAGTTTTTAAGGTTGGCTTTGAGCCCATCTTTAAATCTCTTTTCCTGTCCACCAACGTTCCGTTTTCCGTTCTTAAGTTCGGAGTAGAGCAACTGCTTTGGGAGACGGTGGTCAGGCATCCAGACAACGTGGCCGGCCCAGCGGAGTTGATGTTGGAGGACCATCGCTTCAATGCTGGTGGTCTTTGCTTCTTCCAGCACACTGACGTTTGTCCGCTTGTCTTCCCAGGAGATTTGCAGGATTTTCCGGAGGCAGCGCTGATGGAATCGTTCCAGGAGTTGCATGTGACGTCTGTAGACAGTCCACGTCTCACAGGCATAGAGCAGGGTTGGGAGGACAATAGCTTTATAGACAAGCACCTTGGTCTCCCTACGGATGTCCCGGTCCTCAAACACTCTCTGCTTCATTCTGGAAGCTCAGGCGGTGTTGTATTTCGGCGTCAATGTTGACTTTGGTGGAGAGGTGGCTGCCAAGGTAGCGGAAATGGTCCACATTTTCTAATGTTACACCATTAAGCTGTATCACTGGCATTGGAGAGGGGTTGGCTGGTGCCTGCTGGAAAAGCACCTTGGTTTTTTCAATGTTCAATGACAGGCCGAGCTTCTCGTATGCTTCTGCGAAGGTGTTTAGAGTGGCTTACAAGATATATATACTTACAATATATTATATTAGCATAGTACAATATCAGTATTATATATTACTATATTGTAATCTACCATTATATTGTAATGTTATTAGTAATATTAAATATAATACAAAATATATAATTATAATATATTATTAGTAGTATTATATTGTAACGGAATCAGTCCAGTGCTTGATTCTGTGTTTGCTCCTTGGGTAAGAACTGCAGCACTCCAGACCTCTCGGAAGGAGAACCTATTAATAGTCTTCATTGCGGGTAGCATCGCCCGGTGCCCCTCGTTTCTGGTTGTCAAAGGCAGCTGCGCTCCCTTTCCACTGCTTCCGGTAATCCAAGGACATCCTGTCTTGTTTGACACTGATCATGTATGAGATATGTGGCAGGAGCATCACCTGGTACCTTCACAGCCAGGTGCCACAAATTAGAAGGTATCCAGAGGGCCATTTTGCCTAACCCCATTCTGCCAAGCCTTCCCACAGATAGACATCCAGCCTCTTTCAAAACCTGCAGAGAAAACGGAGGTTTCCTAATACAGTAGTCTCACTTATACAAGCTTCATTCATCAAGTGCAGTTTGCCTCCTGCCTGGAATAATGCCAGGGAGTCTGTTTTGGAGCTAAATTCGTAAATACAGTAATTACTATATAACGTAACTGTGTATTGAGCTGCTTTTTCTGTCGATTTGTTGTAAAACATGATGTTTTGGTGCTTAATTTGTGAAATCATAACATAATTTGATGTTTAACAGGCTTTTCCTTGATTCCTCCTTATTATCCAGCATTTTCGCTTATGCAATGTTCTGCCAGCTTCTTTATGTTGGATAAGCAAGACTCTACTAAATTTAGATGGAATCTCAGCTGGGATTTTCCGATGTATTGATTTGGGATACAGTGTTCAATTAGGACTTGATGTCAGCAGTACAAATAAGAGGCGTCACACTCTCTTTGACAAGCAGGTTCATTGTGGACTCTGTTGGAGCTTTGCGTTTTCATAGTAGAAGTCCAGGCTGTGATGGTGTCACATGCAGCAGCCAGCCCAGTTTGTGTGGAATTTTTCTAGGCATCTTGGTTTATTTTTCTTCTTTTTACTCCTGGAATGCTGCTTGCATGTGAAAACCCTATTGGGCTGCAGCTGGCTTCCTGGCGCGCTGCGTGTTTTCAAGAGAAAGTTCAATTTGATGTTAGCACATGGGCGTGCCTTTGGAACGCAAGGCGAAGAGGAAAAAGCAGCACAGCGGTGTGTGGTGTGTCTCTATATGTGGGAAAGGACCACCGGCCCCTTTCCCACTTCATTGTGGAAAGTCTCCTGTGCAAACAGTACACCCCAAATTCCACTGTAATGGACAGTGGACCTTTTGCTCTTTGATTTCCCAGCCAACAATTCATCTTTGACTCCAGTGATTTTGAAGAAAAACATAAATGCCCATTGAGGAGAGAATGCTTCCAGTGTATGGATACTATGTATGGATACTATCACTAGTGGCCCATAAGTCTGATTGTCTTTCAAGGGAAGAGTCTTGTCAGTGGGTCTGCAAGTGACTTTAGAGACTGATTCCAGATCAACATGGTCTTTCTTTCGCTGTGAGAACATTCATTTCCAGAAGGAAGGTGGTCCCAACAACGGTTGGCTTGGGGTGCCTTCTTCATCTTGGCACATTTCTCCCTTTTGCCTCCCATTTGTGCCTTTTCAAAACCCACAGCACTTTTGGTCACAGCTGACCTCCAGTTTCAGTGCTCGAGGGTCAGAACTTCCCAGTTCATGTTTATTCACATTTTTAAAGGTTAGCTTTAAGCCCCTCTTTCAATCTTTTGCTGTCCATCGACATTGCGTTTTCCGTTCTTGAGCTGAGAATAAAGTAACTGCTGTGGGAGATGGTGATTAGATATTTAGGCAACATTGCATTTGGTCTAGCAAAGTTGATGTCGGAGGATCATGGCTTTGATTCTGGTGGCCTTTGTTTCTTCTTCCAGATTCTGACCTTTGTTCGTCTATCTTCTTCCCAAGAGATTTGCAGGGTTTTTCAAAGGCAATATTTCCAGAAGACGTTTGTAGACCATCTATGTTTTATAGATAAGCATCTTGGACTCCCTTCTATATGAGAAGTTAGGTTTGGAGAGCCATTCAAAGAAGCCCAATGAAGGGCTAACCAGGAAGAACCCATGACCTTAGTTAGGATAGCATTGTGTGTATTTCAAAACAACATATATTGGTCCTGCTGTATGGGATGGAAGTGTTTAAGGTAGCCCTTTAAGTTCAACAAGACTCCTTGCCTAGGCAACCTCTTGTCTCATCAGAGGGACGGAAGCCACTTCTTTGAATCTTACTAGAATGGCAATTTGAGGAAACTATACTTGGACCCCCTGACTCTGTCTGATACTTTGGCATTTAGAGCGAATCATTTATTTTGTGGGCTGTTGTTTGGAAGGACATGTTCAGTGTCATCATCCAAGCGGTCCCCTTGTCCATTTCATGCCTTGACTGCCTCAGAGGGGCCTCTTGTCTGGCACCCGAGGAGACAGGCTGGCAGCGAAGGTAAGCTGAAACCTCTTTGCTTTCTGGGATGGGGTTCTGGCTTGTAATATTTCTTTTTTATTGACACGCATGTCCTCTAATTTAACATCAGAAATGCTTTTGTCAAAATAGACTCCTGCATTCCTTGTGCTGCCGCGCCAGAAGGTTGTTTGCTGTGGTCAGATGATAAGTGGCTGACGTGATGAGCGCAGGGGCTAGTTCATGGTGTGTGTGTATATTATATATCTGTCTTTGGGTGTGTTGTGCCAGTGTCCACAATGCCCAATTTCATAGTGGCTTAGGGGAAAGTGTCAATGCAGAGCTAATTGGATGCATTGCATTCGGTTGTGATTGTTGTGGTGGTGTGTCGCCTGCTGGTGGCGGGATCTTGGGGCTCGTACTTGCAGCCGACAGCGACCCCAACGTATTACTCACCCTTCGAGCATGCCCTGAATGTATCCTGAGCTATTTCTTTCAGTCGCTTGGCTATCAAGTACCGGGTGAATCAAAAAATAGCTCCGGACTGGTGTGAGACTGTCTGCATATTGTTTACAGGATATTTCAGAGCCAGGGGGGATATTTACCATGTCTGAGTCGCCGAGGCGGTAGTTGGTGCTCCAGCAAGGAAGCAGAGAAAACAAAAGCCGTGTTGATGCAGGGTTTCCTTTCCTAGTGTCCGGCGAGGGCAGCTGGAGCCGTTGGCATCACCGGCCAACTGGGAGGGACATTTGGGCCGGGCAGAGGCTGGCACCAGACACCACTACTTGGCCTCCTGAGCATTATGAAGTCTGAAGACGACCCTGAAGATGGAGAAGATCTGACCGGAGACCCCAGCTAAGAGCGGGGCAGCCAGGATGAATGTGGGAGGCCAGCGAGTCCGCCAAGGACCGAGGGCATACCCTCAGCTGCCTCCTGCCTTATAGCCAAATGCCCCGAACAGTGTTTACTCTCAGCTGCAAGGACCCGGGGAATTTAGGATGAGTTGCCTCTTCTCCTGTGCCCTTAAACATGCGGTAGGTATCCTATGCGGGTTGGCAGAGCCACACGAGCCCTCAAACCTGTGCCTCCCAGTTCTGACCTGCTGATGTGAAGGCTGGGAAAAGGGGATGTGAGAGCCGTGTTTAGATATCTGAAAGGATGACCCATTGAGGAGAAGGGGGGCAAGCTTGTTTTCTACTACTTCAGAGACGTAGACACAAAGGAGCCATGGATACAAAGGGCAGGAAAAGAGATTCCACTGAAACGTTAGGAAAGTGGAATATGCTGCCTAGGAGTCCGGTGGAGTCTCCTTCTATGGAATATTTTTAACAGAGGTTGGATGTGTATCTGTCAGGACTGCTTGTGTTGTGTCTTCCTGCACAGCAGGTTTGGACTGCATGGCCCTTAGAGTCCCTTCCAACTTTATGATTCCATGTATCCTGAACTACATTACTGCCCTGCTTCTGTTAACACCTGTTCAGGCATTTCTTTTCATTTGCAGCTACTTTGCGTCATAGATGGATGGTCAGTTGACACAATGGAAAATGGGGGCAATAATGGGCTGAACTGGAAATGCGTTTTTACTGTAATCTGAGCATCTCAACTGAGGCTGGCCCATTGTTTCCTATTCTGTGGGATTTTGTCCTGAAATGAGATATTATTTCATTGCTGTTCTGTGCTGCTGTAAAGTAGAGAGAGGACACGGCGGAACCATTCTTGTACTTTTCCTGTAAAGGGTTTGCCCTTGGGAGTTGCTGCATTTTCAAATCAAGGAAGGCGGCTTGAACTGTTTGCTGAAATTGTTCATCGAATTGGATAAACTACAACTTGGCTCTCCCTCCTCGGCAGCCCAGACCCTTCCTGGCCCCAAGAGGCTCATTTTCCCCAGAGCTCCTTCTCTTTCAGAGCCCTGCTCCTGCTTGATGTTGAGAGCCAGGAATGGCCCGGAGAGGGACTTGGTAGGAAAGCCCTGGCAGGTTGGAGAAAACATAATGTTTTAAGTCTTAGAGGCTTTTCCTTGCAAAAGCCTCCATCCCCTGCATTAGTAAAAACAGAAAGGCATTCCAAAGCCCACATTTTTTTCTTTTTCAGTCTCAGGTTTGGTCCTGAAGGGAGTAAGGAGCCTGATGGATCCAAAGGGGTTTTTCCATCCAAGGCTTGCTGTTTTGCCTGATGGAGAGTACTGCAAAGGATGTGGGAGTCTTGCTGGAGACGTGGACTTGCAAGGCTAAGATATGAAAGAAAGCACACTTCATGTCACCCAAGTCCCACGGAGACCAAAGGCAGTGAGTGACAGCTTTTGTGCAAGTTTTGCTTAGTTACTGAGCAAACAAAATCTGTCGCAGATGCTGTGATCTGAATATCAGATGCAAAAGTACACTCAGACCTGCGAGTGACCCAGGAGATTGCTCCCCGGGATCTCCAAGCTGTCGACACATTTGGGATTGTGTCTCTCTGTGTGTTTAAATCTGGCTGCAGGGAGGGGAAAGGCTCTAAACATTCCCGCAGGTTGCTTTAATTGCCTTGTCCATCTGTCCTGGCACATTGGGAGCCGTCCCTCACTGTCAAGGGAATGAGTGGCATCAAAGCCTGGTCAGTACGTGCCGCAGAAGCAGGCACTCAGTGTCTGAAAGTTCTCAACTGGAGAAAGATGTCACCGAAACCCTTGCCTTGATGTACAAGATTAGTATTCCCTGCCTTTCCTTGGTGCTGGATGCACAGAACCAAATGGGGCATTGTTGGCCTTCCATGTAGCAGTAACGTATCTGCTGCTATTGACTCTCTGTTATTTCCATGATACCGAAACTGCTATAAGAAAACTATATGAATGATGCTGTGGCTCCATCTCTTGTTTGGGTGGATGCATTTGCTAGGAAGTTGTGCTGTATCTTATTCCTCCTTTGTGGACAAAATTGGTTGTCTCGTGATTCAAAGAGACATCTCTCTGTTTTGTGGGGAAAACAATAAAACGCAATGTGGGCTAAGAAGCAGGGGAGCTTCAGAAAGGACACACTTCTGCATGGCTGTTTGTTCATTGATGGCAAAACCTGCAGCTCTTGGACAATGGCCTGGATTTTAGTGGGAGGAGGAGAAGAGGAGGATTGTTTTGAAACTTGGAGGGAAGAATGCTTGAAACTCCTCTATTGCTGGCAGTGTTTTTTCTCTCCCCAAGAAGATATGCGGGGAAAAGGGATGGAGAAGAACCTTGATTTGTTTTCAGGGAGAAAATGAGGTGGATTCAGCACAAATCCAGAAGGAATGCTGTGGCATTTTGACCCTAATCCTCTGGAAACAGGCAGGAGGGAAGATACCACAGGCTGATTCTATTTATCAGAACTTGAGGGAGAGAAGGCAATTTTAGCATTGTTTCAGGAATTATAGCCACACCGTTGCTTCATCTGTTGCTTCATCTGTCCTGTTGTTTTCTGCTCTGGTTCTAGTTCTTATCAGCTCCACCCTGAGATCCATTGAATCGAATCTGATCGTTAGCTGGATCGGCATCTCAAAGGCTCCTTCCACACAGCTGAATAAAATCCCACATTTTCTGCTTTGAACTGGGATATATGGTAACGTGGATTCAGATAACCCAGTCCAAAGCAGATATTGTGGGATTTTCTGCCTTGATATTCTGGGTTCTATGGCTATGTGGAAGGGCCCAGAGAGACATTGCCAGACAGAGAAAACAGTGCGGCTGGCTTTTAAAATGACTTTGTGCAATCTAAAGCTAACTGTTTTAGATGTCCAAATCATATTCATGTGGTGCTTTCCCCAATACAAACCATACTGAGAAGGATGAGTGGCCTTGATTCTGTTCTCAGTGGGAAAATGGAGCAGATCAGGTCAACTAGTAGGACGCAGAATGCTAGCACTTTTGAGCAAGCTGCAGGCAGTCCTTAACTTATGAACAAGAGAGGTTCTGTAGGTTTTGTCTTAAGTTGAATTTGTTTGTAAGTCAGAACACATACATTTTGTAAGTGTAACACCAGCCAGAAACATATATGTTTTAACTTTGTATAACAAAGAAAAGGGTTAACAACACCCCTGTGGAGTTTCATTTGCTGCCTGTGTCTCCTGTTCAGAAGATTTTCCCTCACATTTTGTCCCTTTGATAATTTTGGAAAGCTTGCCTTTATTTATTTATTTATTTATTTATTTATTTATTTATTTATTTATTTATTTCGAGGTTTTATATACCGACCCTCTCACCTTCAAAGAGGGATTTCGGACCGGTTCTTGTTGTGGAGACAAGAATTGGAGATAAAGCTTCAGTGGAGACCCTTTTCCCCTATGATAATAACTCTTCCAGTAGAGAATTTCCCTTTCTAGAAGTAGAATTCTGTCACTTCTTGTTGTTTCAGGCCCACTCTTAACTGTGAGTCATTTGTAAGTCGGATGTTTGTAACTCGTGGATGGCCAGTAATATTTTTATGTCAGAAGTGACTTGAGAAACTGGAAGTAGCTTCTGATGTGAGAGAATTGGCCATCTGCAAGGACGTTGCCCAGGGGACGCTCGGATGTTTTTGCTGTTTTTACCATCCTTGTGTGAGGCTTCTCTCATGTCCCTGCATGGGGAGCTGGAGCTGACAGAGGGAGCTCATCTGTGCTTTCCCCGGATTTGAACCTCCGGCCTGTCAGTCTTCATTCCTGCTGGCACAAGGGTTTAACCCATTGTGCCACTGGGGGCTCCTATTGCCTGTATTCAAGAAAGTATATCGGTTGGATGAGTTGAAGTTAAAATGGTAGCAGCTTTTTACCCCATCAATCAAGAAACTCTGCTGTCCTGACTCCTCCAGGTAAACGGATTGACATTTCTGGGATGTTTCACTCTTCTGACCAAATGGCTGATAAATCCCACTTTCCCCCTTTGTTAGTTATTAACAAAGCATGGGAGGCAGAGGCTTTCCTGGCATCCTTGGAATTGGTCCATTGTAGGACACTAAACACGTTTCCCTTGCGTTCTCCCCACAGTTGACTGCCGACTGGAACAAATACGATGACCGGTTGATGAAAGCAGCGGAAAGGGGCGACGTGGAGAAGATCTCGTCCGTCCTCGCAAAGAAGGGAGTGAACCCCACCAAGCTTGATGTGGAAGGCAGATCAGCGTGAGTACAAGCAAGGATTTGAAGGCAAATGCGCACTTGTCCCCAGTTCCCCCAGCTTCAGAGATGTGTCTCGTCTCTTGCCCTAGATCATCACACTATGTAACATGAGTTTTGTTCCTGGGTTATAAATGTCATTTCCTAATTGGTTCTGTCATAAAAAACGTGGAAAAAGTTTATTAAACTGACTTTTCCCAGTAAAAATGACAAACTTTCGTTTATATGGGACTTCCCGCAGTGCATTTTGCTGTAGTTTTTCATTGAATATCTCATTGAGTCTCAACCAATTCCACCTAGTTTGTGACAACCACAAAAACAAAAGTTTCTGGAGTAGAACAACTACCATATATACTCTAGTATAAGCTGTGATTTCAGCCCATTTTTTAGGCTGAAAAAAACCCCCTTCATCTTACAATTGAGTCAAAGTTATTTATCATTTTACTCTTATTATTTTTATTATATTTATTATTTTACACTATTTATTATAATAATTATTACATTTAAATTATTTTACTCCATTATTACTTTATTACATTTATTATTTTACTCTATTACTATTGTTACTATTAGATGTACATTATTTTACTCTATTACTATTATTACACTTATTATTTTACTCTAATATTACTGTTATTATTACATTTCCATTATTTTCCTCTATTATTATTATTGTTATAATTATTATTACATTTAAATTATTTTTCTCTATTATTATTAGATTATTTTACTTTATTGTTATTATTACATTTATTATTTTACTCTATTATTACAGTTATTATTTTACTTTATTATTACATTTATTATGTACTCTATTATTACTGTTATTGTTACATTTCCATTCTTTTACTCTCTTTATTATTATATTTATTACATTTGTTATTTTACTCTATTTATGATTATTGGAAGGATACGTAAGCACATTTACATTGAAGAAGGTTAGAATAATGGTTTAATCAGAGTTGGACAGTCTTATCTGAAATTACAGTGTGATGTAAATATTCCAAAACATTTAACCTACAGATGCCTCAATTAATGTAATTTTATTGGTATCTATTTTTATTTTGAAATTTACTAGTAGCTGCTGCATTTCCCTTCCTTGGTTTATACTCAAGTCAATATGTTTTCGCAGTATTTTGTGGTAAAATTAGGTGCCTTGGCTTATATTCGGGTTGGCTTATACTTGAGTATATACGGTACTGAACAATTAAACAGGAAATAACACTTTTAAACCAGGAACAGATTTTTCCCCCTAATTTTGTTACTTGGTGTTATTTTTCCATAGGGATGCTAGTGTTTCTCTTAGGTCTTTTCTGCCCTAATGGTTTCAAAACACACTTCTTGAGAAGGCCTCTTTGAATCTTAGGAAGGTGCCGTGTAAACATGTTAGTGAAATAAAAAGCTATGCACTCTTACTTTTGCAGAAGAGCGTCTCACGTTTGCAACAAACAAGCCAGCTTTATAAATAGTTGCTAGATATCTATATGGAAGCCGTGGCTCGAAGTCCCTTTGCACACAATTATCACAGTGCCTTATGCTTTTACGATCAATTAGAATCCAAGCTGGCCCTTGTGTGTGCAGCGCTTGACATCTGTTTCTTCCATTTAAACCAAAGGATCACTTGCAGCATCGACTGAGGAGGGTTTATTTTGTATTTCTCAACTTGTGCCTCAGTGGCAGGGTGGAGCTGACCTGAATGGATCCCATCCAGCCGATTGAAAAGCAAGGAACTGGGTGGTCTGTGCCAGGTTTTCTCAGCTGCAGTGGGAATCTGGGCTGTGTGTGTGGTTTGCTTCATGGGTTTTTTTTTTGGGAGGAGATGAAAAAGCAAAGGCTCCCATCTTTGGGGTTTTCTGTTGTTTCTGGGCTGTATGGCCATGTTCTAGCAGCATTTTCTCCTGACGTTTCGCCTGTATCTGTGACTGGCCCTTGATTGCTTGCTGTTTGGAGACCTGCTGTGTCTGGGTGGTGTTATTAGTTAGTGTCTCGATTCTGGTGTTTTTCAATACTGGCTCTTTCTCCCACCCTGGTTATTCCACAGGCGCGCATGCGTGTATGTGTATATACACACACACACACACACATATATATAGAGAGAGAGCGCCCGGTAGTGCAGTGGTTTAAATAGCTGAGCTGTTGAACTTGCTGACCAAAAGGTCAGTGGTTCAAATCTGAGGAGTGAGGTGAGCTCCCGCTGTTAGCCCAGCTTCTGCCAACCTAGCAGTTTGAAAACATTCAAATGTGAGTAGATCGATAGGTACAGCTGTGGTGGGAAGGTAATGGTGCTCCATGCAGTCATGCCGGCCACATGATCTTGGAGGCATCTGTGGACAATGCCGGCTCTTCAGCTTAGAAATGGAGATGAGCACCAATTCCCAGAGTCGGATACGACTGGACTTAATATCAGGGGAAACCTTTACATACATACATATACACACACACACACACACATATACAAACACACCTACCTCCACACTCCGCTTGCTTTGCTACCATCAGATCCTCTAAAGATGCTAGCCACAGATGCAGGCAAATCATCAGTAGAAAATGCTGTTGGAACACAGCCATACAGCCTGGAAACCACACAACACACTAGTAATTCTGGCCATAGAAGCGTTTCGACAATACAGCACTTACATCTTTCCCATGTGGTTTCTAATACTCCGTGGCCTTCTCCTCCTCCTCTGCTCTGCTTCCAGGCCTCTTTATTTGCTTCTCTCTCTGAACTCTTGTTCTCAAAGGGGTGAGATTTGTGGCAGTGTCAGAACCTTTCAAACACTCTGAGTTTCCAATAGCACTCTCAGGTCTCTCTTGAGTCTTAAATGGGACACAGTGACTCCCAATGCTGGGGTCTTTCCTTTGGTATTGAAGGACAGTTCAACAAGCCAATCCCATAGGTTTAGATTTCCATTTGCAGGTAGAATCCTATCTGTTAAAGCTTTTTCATTTCCTCCTGATTTCTTTTTAAAAATCCCTCCCAGTTTTATATCTCTTCCCAGAATATTCTTGGCCGCAGCCCTCAAACCTAGTTGGAATGGTAATGGTGCTAATGCCCATTCAGTTGGACTTGGGACCAAGTGCCTCTGATAACCTTCTTTCCCTTTGCTCCAGATTCCACGTCATTGCCTCCAAAGGAAACCTTGACTGCTTGAATGCCATTCTCCTCCATGGTGTCGATATTGTGGCGACAGATGCTGCAGGTAGAGCTCCTTGTTTAAAAATAATGGGGTTGCGTTTAGGCTCAGGCCTTCCTGAAGAGAAACTGTGGAAGGAGTGCAAAGGGCTGCAGGGCTAAGCTATATTTGTACATCTGTGTGTTTGTATGTGCGTATGTATGTGAGGATACATTGGGAGGTGTGAGATTGAGAGAGTTTATAATCCTATCATATGCCTCGAAAATGCTTTCGCCTCCCAGTTCAGGAAGTTGTGCACCTTGTTTAAAGCAGTTGATAGCTTGGCTCAAATAAACTGAAAACAATGTACCCTTTTCCCCAAAATCCCTGTTGTGTTGAATGCTGTCATCTGGCAAAGCAGGCGATACATTAGATACTGTCTGAAGGCCACCAGCAACTCTCAAACGAGGGTTGAATGAAAAGTAATGCCTCCAGCTTCGTAACTCCTCAACAGATGGCAGTACTGGTATGAGGCAGGTACTGGCTTGTTCAGTAGAGTCTCCTCTACAGTTCCATTTTGGAGGGAAGCCTTAGCATTGAATAGTTGTGTTGTTAAAGTGCGAAGTATGAAACCCTGCGCATCTTGACAGTAATTACAGAAGAATTTGGAATATTTTGCATGTACACTTGTCCTGTAGACATGGAAAACTAGAGCTCTCCTCACATATATTGAGTGGACAGTTTCCTCCTGTCAAGTGGTTGGATTCTGGAAAAATGCCAACAGAGTGATGTTTTGGTATACGTGGAAAATATCAGATGTAGGGGTTATCCACCCATGAGCCAGACAGTTTGCTGACCTCTTGGGCCAGGGTGACTGCAACCCTGGTTGGTTTTGTGGGAAAGACTACTGGCGTAAAGTAGATTTTGAATAACCACTATAAAACTAGCTGCAGATTCCATGCAGGAGCTGGAAGGCATTGTTGTGATTCAGCCAATGATTGTACCTAATTTCAATGAGGAAGTGGAAGTGGATGATGGGATTTCTAGGCCTGCTGAGTCTGCGAGCCAGCAAGAGATTTTAAGTCCTGAAATTGAGCATTCAGTGTCTCCTGTAGTTAGTGAAGGCCACATTCCAGAGAGGGGCCCAGATTTCTCTAGGAAGCGAGTTTAGAAGATGAATTGTCAGGTGGAGAGATTAATGAGCTAAAAGATAGGAGGCACAGTTTTAGTAAACTCTGAGCTGATTCTCAGGCTCGACAAAGGTCAATGCACTTGTTAGAGACTTAAGCAACGTGCAGTCATTGAATCTTTGACAGCAGAAGGTGTGACCCCAAAGGAGATTCATCAGAGAATACAAGCTGTTTATGGTGATTGTGTTGATGTGAGTGTTGTGTGTCATTGTGCAAGTAAGTTTAAAGATGTCGAGGTGGGAACATCTGATTTGCATGACAAAGAGTTGGACGTCCTGTGACAGCAACCACCGAGTTTCACAAGCAAATGGTTGACAGATTGATTCAGGACAATCGTCATATCACTCAGAGAGAAATTTCAAGCATAATCGGCATTTCACAAGAATGTGTGGGTCACAATATTGCTTTGCTTGGTTTATTGGAAGATCTGTGCATGATGGGTTGTGAAAATAGAGTGTCGACTTCTTCCGTGATGGCTTCAGAAAGCTCCTTCATTGTTGGCAGAAATGTATCCAATTGTCTGGTGATTATGTTGAAAAGTGAATAGTGGTAGTTAAAGAGCACATTCTAAGGGTTATTTCTGCATTTATTAAAATATTCCCATCCAAACCCAAGTAACGAAGGTGGAGGCATTACTTTTCATTCAACCCTCGTGTATGTCTCATGTCTGCGATACGTGTTTCTCCAGCCTTATCTTTTTAAGGATTCTGTTGAGTAACTTTTTGCCCCTGTGGATTCCTCTAGGAAGGAACGCTCTGCACCTGGCTGCCAAATATGGGCATGCGCTCTGCCTGCAGAAGCTGTTGCAGGTAATGGATGCTGAACTAGAAAGCACAGCGTGGGAGTATTTTTGGGGGCGGGGGGATTTGGTGCAGAGGGATGTCGCTTGTTTGTGGGAAGAGACCTGAAGAAACCAGTAAATGGGATACCGTACCACATATCCCATCTCCCCCTGTTATTGATGCCAAAGGATTCAGTTCGGGATGATACCCCAGAGCTTTAAATACCACCCTAAAGGACACTTCCTTTTCAGGAAGGGAACTGGATAATCTTTTAAATGCCCCTTGAAAAGCACTTATAATCAGAATGCTGTTAGGAAGTAATTATTACCGAGTAGAGGCCTGATAGTGATAACAATGCGTTTGGTTGTTTTGACAGTACAACTGCCCAACTGAGAATGCCGACCTGCAGGGTCGAACGGCCCTCCACGATGCAGGTAAGGATGTTCTGCATTGCATTGAGAAGAACAGTGATTAAACAGACTGCCTGTACATGGTCATTTCATTGCCACAAATGAGCAAGGGGGTTCTCCAGGGAGGTAGTCAGAAGCCAAGAAGCAACTGGTTCTCTTTCATTCATGGTATGTCTTTGACCTACTGATAGAGAGGAATAGTTAAGTAAACGACTTAATAAGATTATGAAGGAGCTTATGGCTCAATGTTAAAATGATTCTTCCCAATCATCATCTTAATCATCTTATTATTATTAATAGTAGTAGTAGTAGTAGTATTCAAAAGAGCCATCTTAACATCAAACCACAAGCCAATTATTATTTAACATTATTATTGACTAGCCGTTCCCTGCCACGCGTTGCTGTGGCCCACATGGGAGTTCTGTGTGAGAGGTTAGGCCCAATTCTATCGTTGGTGGGGTTCGGAATGCTCTGTGATTGTAGGTGTATTATAAATCCCAGCAACGACAACTCCCAAATGTCAAGAGTCTATTTTCCTCAAACTCCACATTTGGGCATATTGAGTATTCGTGTAGAGTGGGTTGTTGTAGGTTTTTTCGGGCTATATGGCCATGGTCTAGAGGCATTCTCTCCTGACGTATTCATGTAGAGTTTAGTCCAGATCCATCATTGTTTAAGTCCACAGTGATCTCTGGATGTAGGTGAACTACAACTCCAAAACCAAAAGACACTGCCCACCAAACCCTTTCAGTATTTTCTCTTGGTTATAGGAGAACTGTGTGCCAAGTTTGGTTCAATTCCATCGTTGGTAAGGTTCAGAATGCTCTTTGATTGTAGGTGAACTATAAATTCCAGCAATAACAACTCCCAAATGACAAAATCAATTTTTTGAGTGAAGGACATACATTGGGTTGCTAGGTGTCTTGTGTCCAAATTTGTGTCAATTCGTCCAGTGGTTTTTGAGTTCTGTTAATCCCACAAACGAATATTACATTTTTATTTCTATAGACTTGTGGCTTGATGTTAAGATGGCTCTTCGCTAATACAACAGCCGTCTTAACATCAAGCCACAAGCTTATATTATCATCATTATTATTATTTGGAAGAGCCATCTTAACATCAAATCACAAGTCAATAATAATGTTAAATAATAATTGGCTTGTGGTTTGACATTAAGATGGCTCTTTCGAAAACTACTACTACTATTAATAATAATAAGATGATGAAGATTATGATTGGGAAGAACCATTTTAAATTGAGCCATAAGCTCCTTTATAATATTATTATGGCTCTTCGCTATTATTATTATTATTATTATTATTATTATTATTACAACAATGGTCGTCTTAACATCAAGCCACAAGTCAATAATAATAATAATAATAATAATAATAATAATAATAATAATAATAAGCTTGTAGCTTGATGTTAAGTTGGCTATTATTATTAGTGGCTTGATGTTAGGATGACTCTTCTGAATAATAATTATAATTATTATAATAATCCTGACCTTATGATGATGGGAAAAAACATGGATGGATTGTTGATGTTGCAATACCAGTTGACAGCAGAATTGGTGAGGATCAACTGGAAAAGCTTACACGATATGAGGATTTAAAGATAGAACTGAAAAGTCTCAAGCCAGTCAGGGTGGTCCCTGTGGTGATTGGCACATTGGGTGCAGTACCTAAAGACCTTGGCCTGCATGTAAAAACAATCGATGCTGACAAAATTACCATCTGTCAGCTGCAAAAGGCCACCCTGCTCAGATCTGCATGCATTACTCGCCGATACGTCACACAGTCCTAGACACTTGCGATGTTTCCAAAGTGTGATCGAATACAAAAGCCAGCATAGTGATCTTGTTTGCTGTGTACTGATCTTACTGTGTATCAAATAATAATAAGAAGAGGAAGAAGCAGCAGCCGCCTGTGGCTTGATGTTCAGATGACTATTATTATTATGATTGGGAAGAGCCATCTGAACATCAAGCTACAAGTCACTAATAATAAAAATAAGAATAATAGGCTTGTGGCTTGCAGTTAAGATGGCTTTTTTTTTGTCGTGTCAGGAGAATCCTGTTGTGAGAGAATTGGCCGTCTGCAAGGACGTTGCCCAGGGGACACTCGGATGATTTTGATGTTTTTATCATCCTTGTGGGAGGCTTCTCTCATGTCCCCGCATGAGGAACTGGAGCTGATAGAGGGAGCTCATCCGCCTCTCCCCGGATTTGAACCTGCGACCTGTCGGTCTTCAGTCCTGCCGGCACAAGGCTTTAACCCACTGCGCCACCATGGGCTCCGTTAAGATGGCTGCTATTATTATTATTATTATTATTATTATTATTGGATTGATGTTAAGATGACTTTTCCCAATAATAGTGATAATAGTAGTAATTTTATTTCTTACTTACCTCTCCTCGTGGCTTCATGTGGGGCACAACATAGTTAAAAAAACATAATCATAAAACATTGTGTAAAATACATACAATGAAATGTATTTCTGTGAGACACATATATTAAAGATGTCCTGTCTAGTTGCTCTTAAAGCAGGGCTTACATACATCTACTACAAAGAGCTACAAATAACCCACTTGTTGCGTAGTTCTCCCCTTAATGCAATGCCCTTCTCTTTCCTGAAGCGATGTCCGACTGTTCCTCCGGGATACAGCTGCTGTGTGACCATGGAGCCATCGTGAATGCCAGAGATGCAGTAAGTCTCACAAAAACCCCTTCGGAGGAGCCTCTGATGACCCACCTCCTTTGCTGACTTAATGCAGTTTGTGGTGCCTTTTCTTCACAATTCCCTTCTTTTTCTTCCAGGACGGAAGGACCCCGCTGGTGCTGGCCACTCAGATGTGCCGTCCAACCGTTTGCCAACTTCTGATTGACAGAGGGGCTGAGGTCAACGCGAGAGATAAACAGAATCGGTAATGCATCTCTCTAGAGAAGGGCTAACCCACGCCAGCCTTATTATGGTGGCCTTCAGAGGGTTGTTGAATCCATGGATGAAGAATCCATGGATGATGATGATGATGGTGATGATGATGATGATGATGATAATAATAATAATATCAACAACAACAGCGTGGGCTGGTCCATGAGGTCATGAAGAGTCGGAAGCAACTGAATGAATGAACAATAATAATAATAATAATAATAATAATAATAATAATTTTTCTTTGCCTATCCTCATGGCTTGAGGCAGGTTACAACATGACTAAAACACATGTAATCATCTAAAGCATTCTATGAAATATACATATTGAAACATAGTTCTACAAAATACATGTTAGAATACTCAGAACAAAGATAAAACAACATACAAGTTTAAAAGAATTCAATGGAAGGGTTCTTATTGATGGTAAATCTCTGAGAGGTTTCAACTTATCGGACTTAAAGACTTCCTTTGAAGCTTTGGAAATTTCTTGTATCAGATAATGGATAATATTAGAATATTCGAATGCACTTGGACTTTAGAAGACTTTGGAAGGTACTCGAAAGGCGCCATTGACAAAACTTTCTTGAATAAGATTTTACAAAAAGCTCTCTTGAGAATTTGAAATTAAAGTAAACCAAAGTTTTGTCTTGGGATACCCCTTTGGGTTCCATCAAATGAAGCATTTCCGGTGACAAAGAAACCTACAATGAGGACTGGATAGGATACAAAGATATAATTAAACTTATTAATAACATTATGTAACAAAATTTGAAAAAAAAATCAGTTCCTGGTGTAAAAGTGCTATTTCCTGCTTAATTGTGCTGTCCTTGCTTTAAAAGTAGTTGTTCTACTCCAGAAACTTCATTTTTGTCGCTGCCATTTTTAAACCTTTCAGTGTGCAATTGTTAACCTTTTGTGCAGATCGCATAAACAAAGTTTTTTGCAGTATTATAAACTTTTCCCATTTTTTATGATAAAACCAATTAGAAAATGACATTTATAACACAGGAATAAAAGATCATGTTGGATAGTATAATGAACCTGGAAAAATAGAATTAAATATTAATGGTATTAATAATAAACAGTTAAAACCAATTAAAAACCAATTCATAGCTATTAGCATAGCTTTTCTCTCTGGTGTGTACTCTCTGTTTGTGAGGTGAAGGGAATTCACCTCATCTGACCTCAAGCAAATAGCCAGGAAAAAAGATCCTGGCGCTTGTTCCTTTCGGCTGATTGCGAGCAGCGAGCAGCGTTCCCAGCGGTCCTTGGAATGCCTCATTGGCCTCAGTCATTCATTCATTCATTCATTCATTCTTATTCTTTCTCTCTCTCTTCCAGGACTGCTCTGATGCTGGGTTGCGAATACGGCTGCAAGGATGCAGTGGAGGTTCTGCTCCGGAACGGGGCTGAAGTCACACTGGTGGACGCCCTCGGCCATGACTGCGCCTACTATGCGCGGATCGGGGACAACGTGGAGATCTTGTCCCTGGTCAAGGCAGCCATGGAGGAGTCCGGCAAAGGTACAGCTGGTGGGGAAGAAAAGGATGGGCTGGGGAAAATGGGGTCACCCCTTGTGTTTCCTTTTTCCTCTGGAGGAGTTCTCTGCTCATTTGGGGATGTTTTTGTGTTTTGGGCATCATTTTGGGTACTACTCTCAATCCAGAACTGGTCATGCTTTTATTATTATTATTATTATTATTATTATTATTATTATTATTATTTGTATCCTGTTTATTTTAGGGTTGATTGATTTTATTCTGTTATTGTTTTATATGTTGATGATGTGAGTTATGTTATTACTTTTGGTATTGATGTACTTGTATTTTATTGCACCATGTGTATTGTTACATTATGAGTACTTTGTAAGCTGCCCCGAGTCTCTTTCGGGAGATAGTGGTGGGGTAAAAATAAAGATTATTATTATTATTAATCTCTCTAAAAAGGACACTCAAAAGTGGCTCACCAGAAAACCAATACAATAAAAGGAGCCATTTGAAGACTGACCTCATTACTCTTGAGAGGCTTCTATTATTATTATTATTATTATTATTATTATTATTAGTAGTAGTAGTAGTAGTAGTAGTATTAGTAGTAGTAGTAGTAGTAGTAGTTCTAACCAATTGCTCTTAAGAGGCTTCTCTCCTCCTCCTCCTCCTTCTCCTTCTTCTTCTTTGTATCCCACTTTATTTCTCTAAAAAGACTCAAAAGTGGCTCACCATAAAACCAAGTACAATAAAAGCGGCCATTCGAAGACTGACCTCATTGTTCTTGAGAGGCTTCTATTGTTATTGTTGTTATTATTATTATTAGTAGTAATAGTAGGAGTAGTAGCATTTCTCTCCCATTGCTCATTAAGGGGCTTCTCTTCTTTTTTGCATCCTGCTTTATCTCTCTAAAAAGACTCAAAGTAGTTCACCATAAAACCAAGTACAATACAATTTGAAACCTAAACATATGCAAACATTAAAATGTAATTAAATATTGTTGTTTAAAAAGTAATGTTGTTTAAAAAGTAAACAATATAAACCGATTAAAAATCTGTTCATAGCTAAACTACAGCACCCCCTGGCTTTCTTTTAAAAACCTCCTTATTTTAAAGCTTTCCTGCATAAAGAGGTTTTAGCCTGCCACCTTAAGATGGCAAGGAGGGGACCATTCTGAGTTTATTTGTTTTCACGTGGAGGGTGGCTTCTGCATTTCCCCATTAGAACCATTGGTCCTATTATTGTGTTATTTGCTATGCCACCTGAGAGCTAAACCCTTCTCTCTAGGTCAGCTTTTCCCAACCTGGTGTTCTGCATATGTTTTGGACTGCAACTCCTAGCATCCTTTGCCAGCATCAGTTATTCTGCAGTCCTTGAGGCTTTCTGAGATCTTCCCAGTCACCTACACTTTTTTGATGACCTTGTGAAGTTGTCGTGTCAGCTCCGACCCACCTTTTTTAAAGATTGCAAGTGGGATCCCATCAGGTCCACTGACTTTGTGATAGCCTATGACCGTGATGGTGAACCTATAACACGCGTGTCAGCACTGACACGCATGGCTATTTTTGATGACACGCGGCCACATGCGGCCGCATACAGCGAAGTACACCTTATAAGAGCTAATCTAATTCCATCCTTAAATTTGTAAAAGGCTCTACAAATTTAGCATCTGAACGTTTGAGCATTGTTCACTCCATAACTCAGTACGGATTATACATTTTTTCTTATTTAAACTATAAATATTGCAAAATTATGGGGTTTTTTTCTCGAAGTTGACACCCCACCCAAGTTATGCTCAGGTTTTTGGCAAATTTTGACACACCAAGCTCAAAAGGTTGCCCATCACTGGCCTATGATGATGATTCTGATCGGCACCAGACCATAGAAGGCCACTATAAGTTTATCTCCATAGACTATACTTGATTTTGTTGGTTTATGAAGGGTGTAAACACTTTGCGAATAGCTAGGTGTTCACTCAACTTGTTACGAATATGTCAGAGTTTGTCTTATATTCTGTCTAAAATGGGAAGGAATGGCTAACTGGAGACCAATTCTGCCTTTTTTGTTTCGTTTAGCAAGTTATGAAGTTATGAAGAAAGGTCAGCCCATACCAAAGGTAAGGACCCTGCAAGGCATGTGACACATTGAGGCCCCCACATTCCCCTTCTATTTTTGCATGTTGTAGGTATGTTTTTGTAACTGTTCTATATCTTGGCGTTGTGTAACAGGTGGCCAACATTCGGCCGAAGTGGACTCAGCCGAACGCCTTGGAGGAGCAGGGCTTCAAGCCGATCCAGAAGGAGCCATGGAACCTGCAACAGGTGAGGGAAGGATCCTGGCCTCTCTCTTCAGGAGACTTCCCTTTCTTTGGTGGGGCTTGGTGACTCTATAAGTACCTTTTCTCCCAGTTGGACACTAGACACAGGAGATCCAAACTACAGCTTTATTATTGGCCAGTACAAAACCAAGGATGTCCAGCAAAAAAAGGAAAAATGTGCCTCAAGATCTGAGGTACAGTTCAGTACTTTTATATGTGCGCACAAGCCTTTTCCTATTCACACTTCTCTTGGCTTCTTTTTTTCTCCTATTGGTGCATCTTATCCACAACAATTTTCTCCTTTCTTCCTCCCTTCTCTGCAGGTCTTGAACCCTTTTTACCCATTCCCATCTTTCCCAGTTGTCTATCTAAGGCTCCTCTGGTGCTCTGTTTTGTCTAGCAGAGACTGGCAGAATGAGCTTAGAGCAGTGTTTCTCAACCTGGGGGTCAGGACCCCTGGAGGGGTCGCGAGGGGGTTTCACAGAGGTCGCCAAAGACCATCAGAAAAATATTTCCAATGGTCTTAGGATCCCCTTTGTCAGAGAAGGCTGAAGATCTCTCTGCCTGTCCTTCTCTTACTTTTTGGAAACAGAGGGAGAATCCTCCCACCAAAAGCCCTCCTCCACTGTGATTGGCCAGCTTCTCAGCCAAGGGGAAGGCTGTTTCCAAGACACCAAGCGGGGAGGGGAGAGCAGATGCGCTCAGCACATGGCAGCATGGTGCACAGTTGAGCGAGAGCGTGCGAGGTTGGAAGGAGGCTCACACCAGCGAGTCCCTTCAAGGCGTGGGGTTTCTGTGTGGGAAGTTTGGCCCACTTCTAACATTGGTGGAGTTCAGAATGTTCTTTGATTGTAGGTGGACTATAAATCCCAGAAACTACAACTCCCAGATCTTAAGATCCATTTCCCCCAAACTCCACCAGTGATCACGTTTGGGCATATTGAGTATTTGTACCAAGTTTGCTTGAGATCTATCATTGTTTGAGTCCACAGTTCTCTCTGGATGTAGGTGAACCACAACTCCAAAACTCAAGGTCAGTGTCCACTAAATCATTCCAGTATTTCCTGTTAGTCATGGGAGTTCTGCGTGCCAAGTTTGGTTCAATTCCATAATTGTTGGATTTCAGAATGCTCTTTGATTGTAGGTGAACTATAAATCCCAGCAACATCAACTCCCAAAACTTCCTTTCTTGGAAGCTTTTAGGTCAAGTCTGGATGGCCATCTGTTGGGAGAGTTTTGACTTTGTCTTCCTGCCTGGCAGAAGGGGGTTGTATTGGGTGGCCCATGCGGTCTCTTCCAACTCTATGATTTTATGATTCTTCCTGACCAAAGTAGATTTGCTGTCTTCTGTCCCTCTTATTTGATACGCCAGTTTACCCTCAAGTGCCCTCTTTTTTTAATCTAAGACATTACAGAAATGAGATTCTACTTTAATATCCTAACTGCAAGATGAGCTGTTCAACAGAGGAACTCACTGCCTTGGAAGTATAACAGAGGCTCCTTCTTTTGAGGGAGGATGGTCATCTCTTGGGAGGGCTTTGATTGTGCTTTTTTTTTGAAGGCAGAAGGGGGTTGGACTGGATGGTCCTTGGGATCCGTTCCAACTCCTAAGATTCTATGAAGGGTTTGGGAGCTGAGTAGTTTCATCACTGGCCTTTCAAGGCCAGGCTTCAGGTTGGCACCTTGTACTGATGGAGCTGGCCCTTTGTCTTGAAGCTGGCCAGGAATGGATGGTGAGGAAGCACGGCTTCAAGGCTTCCCTCTGCTGTTGACAGCTTTCCGATAAGCAGCTGAAGTGCTCTTGATGACCGTTTAAGTGCATGAACAAGAGAAAGATGCTGGCTGCCTGCTATTTGTAGCTAAACGCTCTTCAATGCCATCAGCTGAGATGGGTTTGCTCTTGTTGCATCTTTCTCCACGTTGCTTGTAAGGCTGATTTTCAGGGACCTTCTCTTCTCTTCCAGGAAGTGGAACGAGAGAATGAAGACTTGAAAGGCCGGCTGCGGGAGATCCAGCAGGAGCACCGCATCCTCCTGGACAGAATAGGCGGCCTGCAGCTCCAGCTGAACGAGGTAACTCTCCCTTCAGAGTCACAGGGGGCCTGGACAACCTCTCTGGAAACTCAGGGGTGTCCTCCTTCTTTGCCTCCGAAAAAAGAAGATACATTTCCAGTAAAGTAGACAAGAACAAAACTAACAAAATGAAGTTCAACAGGGGCAAATGCAAGACACTTAACTTGGGCAGAAAAAATTAAAATGCAAAGATACAGAATGAGAGATGCCTGGCTTAAGAGCAGTAACGTGTGGGAAAGATCTTGGAGTCCTTGTGGAGAGGAAGGTGAACATGACCCAAAAATGTCATGTGGTAGCTAAATAAGCCAATGGGATTTTGGCCTGCATCAATAGGAGCCTAGTGTCTAGATCCAGGGAAGTCACGATACCCATGCTCTATTCTGCCTTGGTTAGACCATACCTGGAATCACACTGTGTCCCATTCTGGGCACCACGGTTGAAGGGAAATGTTGACTCTAAGTTGGAATGTGTCCAGAGGAGGGCAACTCCAAGGATCAAGGGTTTGGAGAACAAGCCTAATGAGGAGCTGCTTAAAGAGCTGGGCATGTTTAACCTGCAGAAGGCTGAGAGGAGACATGGATCAAGATGTGAGGGAAAGTCATAGGGAGGAGGGTGCAGGCTTGTTTTCTGCTGCCCTGGAGACTAGGATGCAAGGGAGCAGTGGCTTTAAACTGCAGGAAAGGAGATTCCATCAGAACATTAGGAAGATCTTCCTAACTGTGAGAGCTGTTCAGCAGTGGAACCCTCTGCCCTGTGATGGAGACTCCTTCTTTGGAGGCTTTTAAACAGATGGCCATCTGTCAGGGGTACTTTGAATGTGATTTTCCTGCTTCTTGGCAGAATGGGGTTGGACTGGATGGTCCATGAGGTCTCTTCCAACTCTATGATTCTATGATTCTTTTAGTCCAAAAAAATCAGTGGAGGTTTGAGCCCATCTTTGCTGGAGGAACACAATGAATCAGTCCCAGTCATACTTAAAGTTATTATTATTATTATTATTTATTATTATTTCGGTTGCTTCTACCCCGCCCTTCTCACCCCGAAGGGGACTCAGGGTGGCTTACAAAAGCAAGGCACCATTTGATGCCCGCATCACATAACAACAATAAGACAAAATAACATCAATCAACAGAAAATAGCAATTCTAGCAATAACATCAATTAACAGAAACAACCATTCTTGCAAGGCGAAAACAACCATAAAACCAGTAAAAGCAATAAAACCAATACAAACCATTTCTCCTCATTGACGGTCAGCGTTTCGCAATCTCATAGTTCAAATTCCAATTCCACAATTGTCAGTCCTGTCAGTCCTATCCATCTGGTTGTCCATATCTAGTTGTCAGATTGTCCGAAGACCTGGTCCCACAACCACGTCTTTACCTTCCTCCTGAAGGAGAGGAGGGATGTTGATGCCCTAATTTCCCCCGGGAGTGAGTTCCACAGGTGAGGGGCCACCACTGAGAAGGCCCTGCTCCTCGTCCCCACCAACCCACCAAAAGTTAGTTTGCGATCTCTTCTTAATCAACATAGTAAGTTTATCAATTTCTGCAAGTTCTCCTTTTTTCATAAGCAAATCGTCTTTTGTCGGAATCGGTCTTTCCATCTTTGGGCACAGATAATTCTTTCTGCCGTTGTCATGTATAGCAAACAGCATTCCACATTTTCTATTGAGTTGATCATCTAACGTCTCAAGCAGATAGAGAGGCAGATAGAGTTCAGGTTTTGTTTCACATATAACTTTAACAATTTCTTCTAAATCATATTTATTCCTGGGCCCAGTTTTTCCAGGCCCTTTTACACAACCAGCACATATGATGCACCAGGACTGTGGTGCAGCTGGTTGGGAGTCAGCTGCATTAAGATCACTACTGACCAAAAGGTCATGAGTTCCAAGCCAGCCCGGGTCGGAGTGAGCTTCCGACCAATTTTGTGTAGCTTGCTGTTGACCTTTGCAGCCTGAAAGACAGTTGCATCTGTCAAGTAGGAAATTTAGGTACCCCTTATGTAGGGAGGCTAATTTATGACACCATAAAAATCTCCAGCAAGCATGCAAAGAATGAGGAAGTACTTCATTAGTGTCACAGATGGACAGTGAAGCGACAGCTCCCCTGGTGGTCAGAATACCCTCATGAAAAAAGCTGCAATATTAAATAGCCTCTGTGTGTCTGTCTATATATGTTGTGTGTCTATGGCATTGAATGTTTGCCATGTATATGTGCATTGTAATCCGCCCTGAGTCCCCTGCGGGGTGAGAAGTGTGGAATATAAATACTGTAAATAAATAAATACACTAAACAGAAAGAGAAAAGAAAGAGCAAAGCAAACCTTTCCTTGTTGGGTTGGAGATGTATATTTTTATGAAAGACAGAAGAATAAAGAGAAGCGATTTGTTTATTTTTCTTGACAATTCCAGGTAGTAGAATATACAGTTGATAGTAAATTATAGCAATGCCTTTGGTGAGAAAAGCATACACTGATTGGTCCATCTTTGTTTTGTCTTGCAGGAGCAAATGATTGCTGATGATCTGGAAAGTGAGGTAAAGAGACAGAGAAAATGTATCTCCCCTCATGCCTATCTTTTCCTGTTTCTGAGATCCCCAAGGATGGCATTCTTCTGCTTTTTGGGGGGGCATTTTAGCTTGAAATAATAAGTTGGATTTCCATATTGATATTCCTTTGGTGTTCGCTTTCAGAAGGCTGAGCTCAGGAAGCTTCTGACCACAAAAGAGAAGCAGCAAGATGAAAGCTTGCGAATGCTTGAGGCTCTGAAGTCAAAGCTGAGGTTCTACGAGGTGCGTAGAGCCTTTAATACAGGGAGAAATATCGAGTTGTATTCTAAAAACCTCAGGCATTTATTGGCCAGGTATTTTGTGTCTGAATGTTCCCTTTTGTTTTTTTTTTCAGGGTGACCACACAGGATCTGGAAACAGTTTTGGAAACAGTGAGTCTTCCTGTTGTGAGGCTCTCCTTTTGCAAATAGTCCAGCCTCAGCGCTGTCCTCGCTGGAGCTCTTTGTACAGCTTTGTCATGGTTTGCCACTCTCAGTCCATAATATTGTTATGTTCCTTCAGCATGTTACCAAGAATGGTTGATTGGTCCCTTAATGAAGCAATTTTATTTATTTTATTTTATTTATAGTATTTATATTCTGCCCTTCTCAGAGCGGATAACAATGTACATATACTTGGCAAACATTCAATGCCGTAGACACACAACATATATAGACAGACTCACAGAGCCTATTTAATATTCCAGCTTTTTTTCATGAGGGTATTCTGGCCACCAGGGGAGCTGTCGCTTCACTGTCCATTAGTTACAATGATGGAGTACTTCCTCATTATTTTTGCATGGTTGCTGGAAATTTTTATGGCGTCGTACATTAGTTAAATTAGCCTCCCTGCATAAGCAGTACCTACATTTCCTACTTGACAGATGCAACTGTCTTTTCGGGCTGGAAAGGTCAACAGCAAGCTACACAGTGGTTGGAACCTCACTCCTGGGCTGGTCAGTAGTGATCTTAATGTAGCTGACTCCCAGCCAGCTGCGCCACAGTCCCGATGCCATATATTAATACATCGATAAATAAACTTCCAACACAGAACCCCCATGACCAACAGACCCCCAAAGAGGTCCCGACCCCAAGGTTTAAAACCACTGCCCTAGGCCTTACTTTTTGCCTTCTTCGGGCGTTTTCACCCTGAACCAACCCTAACGCCAGCCACTAACTTTACTTGACTGATTGATACACTTGTCCTCTGCCACGACCACTGTTTGCCAAGCAGTCCATCACAAGACCAGTTCTTACTGGTTTTTCTTACATTTCTTACAGTTCTTACATTTCAAGGCATCCTGGCCCAATGATGAGACAGTTTGGACTGTTGTCTACAAAAGCTATATTTCAGTATTCCTCAAAATGCCACATGAAACACACACACAACATGATTATCCTCCTGGGACATATTTTACATAGATATTTTGCTTATGTTTTGTAAAGGAGCCAATGAACTTGTTTGTTTTGTTTTTCTAAAGGGAAAGAAGATGCTTTGCTTAAGCAGGAATCTGGCTATTCTGCAGAACCACAGGTAATCCGGTAGTTGTCTCTTTTTGCATGTACTAACACGACTTGCGCATCCGTGGTGTTGCTGCTAATGAAATAGTGCTGTGCCTATTCTGTGATGCTTTCTGTCTCATTGAGCCTGGCCTTTGGAGCTCTCTGGGGGCTTCTTGGCTCTGCTTCATGGTTTTCTGTTGCTCCATTCCTCGGCAACTCCCTTAAATGGCTCATTTTGCATTAGCAGTGATGTGTTTCACTCAGAAATAAGGACCATGACAAGGCATGGGCCATTGGGTGAACCTAAAATTATTTGGCTGAGAAGAAAGGGAAAGGTGAACAAAAATATCTGTTAGGATAACAGATTCAGTTCTAAAACCTAGCCATTGAACTAGGTATGGGTTATATTGTTGGGTGAGTGGGCTTATTAACAAAAGACGCTCCTAATAAATTTACAGCAGAGTAACTTAGCAGCTGCGTGACCCAATACCAGTAGCCAAAAGTGATTTTTTTGTGTGTCAGGAGTGACTTGAGAAACTTGCCAAAAGTGATAAAAAGAACAAAAACACACAGACCAATTTTATCTCTTCCATAGGAGACTTTTCTTTATAGTTTTTTTTTGTCGTATAAGGAGCAACCTGAGAAACTGCAAGTTGCTTATGGTGTGAGAGAATTGGCCGTCTGCAAGGAAGTTGCCCAGGGGACGCCCGGATGATTTGATGTTTTATCATCCTTGTGGGAGGCTTCTCTCATGTCCCTGCATGAGGAGCTGGAGCTGATAGAGGGAGCTCATTCGCTTCTCCCCGGATTCAAACCTGCGACCTATCGGTCTTCAGTCCTGCCGGCACAGGGGTTTAACCCACTGTGCCACCGGGGGCTCTTCTTTATAGTAAAATAATATGATTGCATTATTTACAAAAATAAGGTTTACATAATGCAAATAAACAAATAAATAGTAGCTTTACATGCAGCAGCCTTCACACTGGAGCTTTCCCACACGAGGCTTCTCTCACACAGAGGTTTACCTCACATTTCTTAGGACGACACTAGCTTTGGCCCACTAAATCTAACAGGCTTCAGCCTATTCACTCTCCTCAGGATGACACTAGCTTTGGCCCACTAAATCTAACAGGCTTCAGCCTACGCGCTCTTTCAGTGTTTTGCAATCAAAAATACCCCGTGAATTTTTCTGACATATATTTTCAGAAAATGTGGGGAGACGACTATTCAGGAACTCACCTGATGGGTCTGTCCTTTACCTGTGCCATGGCAGTGTTTCCTTAATCCTTTCCTTGACTTGGAGTTGATGCTTGGACCTTGTGCGGTGAAGGTGTTCTGTGAGGAGCCTTTGTGTTGTTCATAGTACTTTGTCAAATGTAAAACAACCTGCCTGCGAGACTAATGATTCCATGTGTCTGTTGTTATTATTTATTATTAATATTTACTTTGTTTTTGTTGTTCATCGCAGGCCCCTGGACCCATGGCAGCCAGCCTACAGAGCCGGTCCATGGTGCGTCCCTTGGAGCTGCTGGGCCCAAGCCTCTCCTCAGCCTCTGAGGTAGATGCTCTCAAGCGGGAACTGGGCAGCCTGAGGGGCGGATATGAGGCGTCCAGGGCTGAGGTCAGCCGGCTGCAACTGGAACTTTCCCACAAGGCCTCCGAATGCAAAGCTCTGGCCTCGGAGTGCGAGCGGTCCAAGCGAGAGTCCGACAAGCAGATCAAGCAGCTGGAGGACGCCTTGAAAGATGTCCAGAAGAGGATGTTTGATTCAGAAGGCAAAGTGAAGCAGATGCAGACGCACTTCCTGGCCCTGAAGGACCACCTGACCAGCGAGGCAGCATTGGGTAGCAGCAAGGCAGCGGAGGAGCTGCGGGATCAGCTGAAAGACATGAAGGCCAAGTATGAGGGAGCCTCGGCCGAGGTGGGCAAGTTGCGCAACCAGCTGAAGCAGAATGAGCTTCTGGTGGAGGAGTTCCGGAGAGATGAAGCAAACCTGCTGGAAGAGAACAAGAGGCTGCAAAAGGAAATGGGCATGTTGAAGATGGAGCGTGAAAAGAGGGAGCGAAGGGCGGCGGAGGCAGAGGCGCAGCTGAAGGAGACGGCAGCCAAGCTGGCCGACCAGTATGAAAAGATGAAGGCGTCACTCTCTGCCGAAGTGGACGAAAAGGCCCGGAGGTTGGCTGAGATGGAGAAGGAGCATGAGAAGCTGTTGGGAGAGACTCAACGCCTGAGGATGGACCTGGAGGGCCAGAGAGCGCAGTTTCAACAGTTTGTGAGGCCGGAGGAGCACAGACTTATGAAAAGCAAGTATGAGCAGAGGGGCAGGGAGCTGGAGAGGGTGCAGGCGGGATTGAAACAGGCAAACCAGGCCCTGCAGAAGGAGCTGGAAAAGGCCCAAGCAGACAATAGCCTGCTCAAGCAGCATGTGGACACACTCAGGAGTGAGATGGACAAGCAATTCGTGCCTCGGAAGGTCAATGAGGAGATGAAGAAGGCCAATGACTTGATTGTTGGGGAGTTGAACAGAAAACTCATGGAGGTCACTGAAAAGCATCGCGTATGCAAAGGGGAAGTAGAGAGATTGCTGGCAGAGAAGAGCTCTTTGCAGGACACGGTGAACCACCTTCAGTCCATTTATGTCCCCCCTGAGAAGCACGAGAAGGAAACTGGGGCCTTGAAATCCACCGTGATGGAACTGAAGAGGCAGCTTGCTGATCTGGGCCAAAAATGCAAAGAGGAGCAAGCCAAAGTATCCGAACTTGTGTCCAAAAATACTGCTCTTCAGGTTGCCCTGAAAGAGCGGTATGTGCCAGCTGAAACTCACGAGGAGACCAAGGCTGCCTTGAACAGCACACTGGAGAAAACTGGCCAGGAACTCTCAGATCTGAAAGAAAAAATGGAAGGTGTCAAGCAGGAGTTTTTGAAAGTCACCGAAGAAAACAGGGCATTGGCAAGTAAGCTGCGAGCCCTGCAGAGCCAAATGCAAGGGGAGTACATCAGCACGCGCGATCATAACAGCCAGGTCGCGGCTATGAACCAAAGCATCCAGGAGCTTCAGAACAACAGTTCGGAAATGCTTGCAAAGTATCAGCAGAAGCAAGAAGAGGTTGTGCAGTTGCACGTGGAGATTGAGGCACAGAAGCAGGAGCTTGATATGATCCAGGAATGCATCACGTCCAAGTATGCCCCACTGGCCAGCCTGGAGGAGAAGGAGCGTGGCTTCGAGGCCGCAGTGAAGGAGCTGAGGGGCCAGCTGGCCGAACGTGGGGAGCAGTTGGCGGGGAAGGAGGAGGAGATCAGGACCTGGCGCCAGGAGAATGAAAAGCTGAGGGCCGGTCTCCTGGCTGTCCAGAATGATCTCCAGCACAACTATGTACTGGTGGAGAAGTCGCATGAAATGGAACGGACCTTCACTGCCAAGGTAGAGGACCTCAACAAGCAGCTGCAGGAGCTGCAGCAGAAGTGTGCAGACATCCAGTCGGAGAAGGAGCAGCTTCAGGAGGAGAGCGCCAGGCAGCGCTCGGAGGCCCAGGAAGCCCAGAGCCGCCTCCAGGGCCAGTATGTGCCGGTGGAGCAAGTGGAGGTCCTGAAGCGGGAGCTTAACACTGCCATTGAGGGGCTGAAAGGAGAGCTGAGCAGCCATGAAGCTGGTCACCAAAAGGAGCGCCAAAAGGCTGAAGAGCTGCGGCAGGAACTGGCCCATCTTAGGACCACCTCTGTCTCCTTGGCGGAGCACACTCGGATCAAGGAAGGGCTGGAAGGAGATGTGGTGAGTGCAAAGGCCGCCTTGAAAGAGAAAGAGCAGGAGAGCCAAGCCAGGGGTGAGGAGATCAGTACACTGCAGTCAGGAATCCAAGGCGCAAAGCAGTCACTGAGGGAGCTGGAGAGCCGAGCGGAGGCCGAGAGGCTGGAACACAAGATGGTGACCCTCAAGCTGGAAAGCCAGGTCACCAGCATGGCCGAAAAGGTGGCCTCACTGAGCGCAAAGCCTGATGGGATGCGTGAGAAGGCTGTGCAGGTGAAGGCGGAGGAGCTGCCACTGACTGAAGGCGAAACAGAACAGCCCCAGTCTCCAAGGGCCTTCAGCATTGAGCAGGAGATCAAGGACCAGAAGGAGCGGTGCGACAAGTCCCTCAGCACCATTGTGGAGCTGCAGAAGAGGATCCAGGAGTCAGCCAAGCAGGTGGAAGCTAAGGACAACAAGGTGAGCTTAAAAAGCCAATGGGATTTTGGGCTGTATGAAAAGGAGTACATTATCTAGATCGAGGGAAGTCATGGTGCCCTCTGTTTTGTTCTGGTCAGACCTCTTTACCTGGAATACTGTGTCCAGTTCTGGGCCCCACAGTTTAAAAGAGAGATTGACATGCTGGAAGGTGACCAGAGGAGGGAGACGAAAACAATTAAAGGTCTGTAGACCATGAGTAATCCTTCTGAGGAGCGTCTTAAAGAGCCTCTCTGAGTCCCCTCGGGGAGATAGAGTGGTATATAAATAAAGTTTATTATTATTATTATTATTATTATTATTATTATTATTATTATTATTATCCTTCAATATCAGAAATTAGTCTTGCCTGAATTTTTTGTGCTGCCAGGGCGAAAAGAGACACTAACCACAGGGTTAGTGTCAGCCAAGAAATAGAAAATCTTTTCTGACACAGTGTTGGTTTGAAGGAGATGAAGAACAGGCCCCAAGATTTTAGTTCTTGGCTCAGGGTACAGAGGGCAGGAAAACAAATAGTGAGGCAAATTCTCAATTTCTGGGGCCCCACAAACATATAAATGAAGAGCCAGAGGGGTGCCAGTGTATCTACCATCAATCACTTCTTTGGGCATACTTTGAAAATGAAGGGCTGTGAAGGCTTGCCTAAGTTTTGGAAATGTGAGCCTAGTCAGGTAGATAGTCCTATAATGGTCAAGTTTATACAGTCTGAACCAGAGGGAACATTTGGAGTTATTAATAGCCTGCAGAAGGGAAGGTTGAGAGGAGACATGAGAGCCATGTATCAATATGTAAAAGGATGTCATGAGAAGGAGGAAACAGGCTTCCTTTCTTCTGCCCTGGAGACTAGGATTCAATGGTATATGTTTATTTTATTATATGTCTGTTTGGTATGGCTTTGAATTGTTGCCTGTAGTAATGCTGCTCTGAGTCCCCTTTGGGGTGAGAAGGGCGGGGTACAAATACAGTAAATAAATAAATAAATAAGTTCAAATGACACGGAAGGAGATTCCATTGAACTTCCTGACTGTAAGATCTGTTCAGTAGAACTCTCTGTCTTGGAGTGTGGTGGAAACTCCTTCCTTGGAAGCTTTTAAACCAGTGGTTCTCAACTTGTGGGTCCCCAGACGTTTTGGCCTTCAACTCCCAGAAATCCTAACTGGTAAACTGGCTGGAATTTCTTGTTGTAGGCCAAAACACATGGGTACCCACAGGTTGAGAACCACTGAAACAGAGGCTGGATGGCCATCTGTCAGGGATACTTTGAATGTGCTTTTCCTGCATGGCAGGAGGTTGAACTAGATGGTCCATGTGGTCTCTTCCAACTCTATGTTTCCATGTGAGTGGGTGGAAGAAGGACTGCATGGTTCAAATGAGGGGGAGTCCTTATGCCCTGTATCAATAAAACTCTGGCTCCGTTTCTCTTTAAGATTACTGAGTTGCTCAATGATGTGGAGAGGCTGAAGCAGGCCCTCAATGGTCTCTCCCAGCTGACCTACAACAGTGGCGTCCCTACAAAGCGGCAGGTCGAAGTTCTCCAGGGCCAAGTGCAGACCCTACAGCAGCAGCTGGCTGTAAGTAGATGAGGGCCAGCTAAAGAGCTCACGGCAGGGCGGGTTGTTCCTAAGCAATTATTGCTTTTATTGTTTTTATATGGTTTATACTATATGTTAATGTTTTAACTATATTTTATATTGTTGAGGGCATTGAATTATGCCGATTGTAAACCGTCTTGAGTTGCCTTCAGGCTGAGAAAGGCAGTATATAAATATGGCAAATAAATAAAACAAGAAGGCCTGAAATTCTCCAGGCAAGCATTTGGAAACACCAGATTTCTTAGTCAGGCAAAGCACCCTGGAAAAGAGGGGAAGGTGGGAATGGTGGTGCGTAGGCCAATATAGTGTGCATGTTTGGGAGTTGGTTTGGAGGAGGCACTCATCTGGACACAGAAACCCCGGGGAACAAGACACACTGTCAAAGAAAAGCATTTGGAAACAACAAAAACAAAAGCAAACCTCAAATGCCACCACTTTGAATCCTACAATCTGTCTGCATTCATGAGAGAACTCACAAAGTCCAAAGCTTTGTAGGAAGAGAGCAATTATTTTCTCAGAATATCAGGGCTGAAGAGAAATGTAGGCCCTGGATGAAGCAAAGGGCACTGATTGGAACCAAATGGGGTAGAACTGGCAAGAATTGTCCTCCTGAAAACAAGTTTAAGACAGTATAAACTCCTTTGCTTCTTCTAGACGAGGCCCCTGTAACTTTTTTCTTTTTTTAAAAAAATGTTTTTATTGAGAGTATGGGTATGGGGTATTTGTTTACATAGAAAGTAGGTGAACAATGTGATTAGGAAAGTAGGAATATGAAGATAGTAGGAAAGGGAAGAAAAGAGAAAAGAACAAAAAGGAGAGAGTAAAATAAAACTAAAAATAAAAGATAAGATGAAAGCAGAATAATATAGTTGTACTTCCCGGTCTCTTCCAGCTGGGGATTCTTCTTTCATTTATTTTACTGTTTTATTCTTCTTACGTCGGTTTTTTAAAAAATTGATTTTGGTTTTAGCTTTCTTTTAAGTTGTTTTTACATATATCTTGGCCCCTGTAACTGGTCAAGTGCGAGGAAAACAATGGTGTGGGCTGTTTTTTTCCCCTCCCAACAATAGAAAGGGACTTTAGTTTGCAATTTCAGGCAGGTGACATGAACTTCCTGTCCAGTCCGACCTTCATTTTAAAGAGCCTGCTTCAGGTCCTTAATGATGTCAAAATCTGTGGTTTGCGGGTGGTGCTCACGGCTGGTTGGGATTTGACAGCAGCATGCATGAGAATAGGGTTCCATCTTGCACAAGTGGAGATTGGTCAAGCTGTAAAGTGGAATGCTGGGAAATGACGGCACCTTCTTTTGTCCTAGGATGCTGAGCGGCAGCACCAGGAGGTCATCTCCATATATCGAACACACCTCCTCAGTGCTGTCCAGGTTGGTCTTGTTCTGGTCTCTCGTCTTGGATTGAAATGGAGGAAATATTATAGATAAAAATAGAGTTGAACAAAAAACAATTATTTACTCAGAAAATAGATTTCGTGTGTGTGTGTGTCAGGAGCAACTGGAACAACTGCAAATATATTCTGGTGTGAGAGAATTGGCCGTCTGCAAGGACATTGCCCAGGAGACGCCCGGATGTTTTACTATCCTATGGAAGGCTTATCTCATGTCCCTGCATAGGAAGCTGGAGTTCACAGACGGGAGCTCACCCTGCTTCTTGGATTCGACCCACCAACATTTGCGAGCACAAGGATTTAAGCCAAATAGATGGTCAAGGTGGAAATAAAGAATGGGGGCAAATTGTAAAATACATGATAGCAGCCTCACCCAAGCAACGGTGCCTTAGGATGGCAAGAGCAAAGGGAATGGGAACTTTAAAATGGCATGAATATTTGATTATATACTCCACAGTTAGATTTAAGGAGAATGAAATATACAAATGGACATCCTATGGAGAGCTAGGCGTCGAAATGGAAAGGGTTTAGAGCCAGGGTAAAAGGGAAAGGAAAATACAAGGAATTGAATCAGATGATCTTCATGATCAAACAAATAAAACAATACATAAAGCAGAGGCACAACTGTTCCCGGAGGGAGGAAGGGAAAATTTGATAGGTTTAAGTAGTAGATAAGTATAGCATTGTAAAGGATAGGAAAACAGGAATCATCAGAACTTTATGAGACTATATGGAAAAATGTTTTTTGGAGACTGACAGTGTTATAATTTACTTACATATGGTGGCTTAACTTACGTATGCAGCGGGTTAACCCGCTGAGCTGCTGAACTTGCTGACTGAAAGATTGACAATTCAAATCCGGAGAGTGGAGTGAGCTCCCAGTTTTAGCCTCAGCTTCTGCCAACCTAGCAATTGGAAAACATGCGAATTTGAGTGGATCAATAGGTAACGGTGGGAAGGTAACAGTGCTCCATGCAGTCATGACCTTGGAGGTGTCTACTGACAACGCTGGCTCTTTGGCTTAGAAATGGAGATGAGCACCTCCCCCAAAGTTGGAAGGCTGTTGGGCAGCAAAAAGGAGCCGGTTCTCTTTAGCTCCAAAAGGCAGGGTTAGAAACCTGGGGGTGAACCTCCTGGTGAAGAGAGCTGTGTTCTCGGCTACTGGAGGGATTTCATTTCAGACTGGGCAGTCATTTTCCTAGGTTATTATAGATCAGGATACTCAGTGAAAAGGCACTCAAACTATTCAACGAGTGCAAAACAAAGAGTTGGAAAAGGTTTTCTAGTATTCTAGAATCATATGTATATGTATATGTATATGTATATTGGACCCCCTGGTGGCACAGTGAGTTAAACCGCTGAGCTGCTGAACTTGCTGACTGAAAGGCTGGCGGTTCTAATCCAGGGAGTAAGGTGAGCTCCTGCTGTTATGCCCAGTTTATGTCAACCTAGCAGTTCGAAAACATGCAAATGTAAGTAGATCAATAGGTATGGCTCCAGCAGGAAGGCAGTGGTGCTCTATGCAGTCATGCTGGCCAAATGCCCTTGGAGGTGTCTACGGACAACTCTGGCTCTTTGGCTTAGAAATGGAGATGAGCACCCCTTCCCCCACCTGAGTCAGACCCAAATGGACTCAACGCCAGGGGAAACCTTTACCTTTACTTTAGATTGATTTACTTTATATTGATTTCTCATTGCATTATTTTGCTTTGCTTTATTATATTCTTACATTTTATCTATTTTGTTGTGATGTTAGTTCTGTTGTTTTATTTTACTGTATTTTGCTGTAATGTATTTCTGAGCTCGACCTCATGTAAGCCGCCCCGAGTCCCCTTTGGGGAGATGGTGGCGGGGTATAAATAAAGATGATGATGATGATGATTATTATTATTATTATTACTATTATTATATTGGAGTGGGTGGCCCTTGGAGTCTTTTCCAACTGTATGATTCTATGGTACTAAATGACCTCTCAGACCCTTTACAACTCTTTGTGTGTGTATATATAGAGAATCATAGAATTGGAAAGGATCCCAAAGGCCATCCAGTCCAACCTCCTTCCTGCCAGGCAGGCAGACACAATCCAAGCCGTCCCGACAGATGGCCATCCAGCCTGTGCTTAAAAACCTCCAGAGAAGGAGACCCTACCAGACTCCTAATGGAAGGCTGACAAACAGCTCTCATCACCCAGAAATCTTTCCTCAGAACCCGATTCTGCAGCTAATAAATCTGGCAAAATTAGAAGGAGGTGGTTGGTGGAGACTGTTTTTTCAGGATGCCTTTCGCACAGTCTCTCTGTGTTTTGACAAACCCCTTCTCTCTCCTTTTGCAGGGTCATATGGATGAAGACGTCCAGGCAGCCTTGCTGCAGATCATCCGCATGCGCCAGGGCTTGGTTTGCTAAAGGGGTTGGCGCGGCGGTCGCACCCGCCAGAGCACTGTCCCCTGTAGCAGCTTTGCGGGGCTTTGCGTTACGGTAGTTTTTGCAGATATTCTTGCAGGAAAAAAAAATTATATTAACACAAGCCTGCTTTTTTAACACCAACAAGGGCTCGCAAAGCTTGCGATCTGAAAGTTTTTTAAAAGTCTCATTTTTATTTATTGGTGGTCAAAATGATGACAAAAGCAAAGGTCTTCTGAATGTCGGATTGACAACAGTAAAATGCTAAAACAAAGTTCCGGGCCCCTCTTCCCATTTCATTGTAGAGCACAAAAATAGGGGCAATTGAGGGCCTGAGGCCAAAACACACTCACTGTGGCCTATTATCCTGTACTGTTTTTTTTTTCAGACTGGGTTTCATTTTTCAATGGATTTTGGGAAACACTGCATGGCTGAGGCTTGGCTGGCCAAGTTGCAGCTTCTTTTAAAAGGAACAGTGCCTTCTTCTTGCTGTTTTTTCCCTCAAGAGAAAAGAGCAAAGCCCACGAGACACTACCTGGCTGTTCTTTTTGTACAAGATCTTTCTTTTTCTCCCTTCTTCTTCCACTAATTCTTTGTTACTGATTTACTCATAGTTTCGGAGACAGCGGGACTGAATGGAAGGCTATTTACGCAGCAGCTGAATGTGTCTTTTAGATAATGCTTTTTGTTGTCGTCGTTTTTTAAAAGAGAGAGAGAAAAAAAGCACAGTGGTTTGGAATGGTGTAAGAAAGGCAGTCTGTTGAGTAAATAATTTTCAAGAAAAAAAGAAAGAAAAAGAAGATCTTGGCCCCATGAGATCTCACTTTAGGGTGCTTTGGGGAAAGGAGAAGCCGTTCGTATATGGGTTTTTTCAGGATCTGGTGCCATGGATGAGAGGAGAGCAGTGTTGCCCAAACTCTGGTCTTCCAGGTGTTTTTAGGCCTTCAGCTCCTGGAATCTCTACTCATTCAGTCACCTGGAGGACTAGTATTTGGGAATCACTGGTTTTGAGGATACGGCGCAGGATGGGGCCCAAGATCATCATCGTTGTCTCCTCCTCCTCTTTCTCAATCATCTCCTTCTCCCTCTCCTTCTCTTCCTCTTCTTCCTCCTTCCTCCTCCTCCTCATTTTTGTTCTCCTTCTTCCTCCTCCCCACTTTCTTTTACTCCCTCTTTCTTTTTCTCATTCTCTTCTTTCTCTTCTTCTTCTCATTCTCCTTCCTCTCTTTCTCCTTCCACCTCCTCCTGCCTTCTGCTTCTCTTCCTCCTTTCTCTTCCTTCCTCCTCCTCCCTGCTTTCTTTTTCCTCCTCTTTCTCCTTCACTTCTTTCTCCTCTTCTTCTCCTTCCTCCTCCTCCTGCCTCCTCCTTCTCTTCCTCCTCTTCTTATTCTCCATCATTTCTCCTCCTCTTCTCATTCTTGTTCTGCTCCCTACTCTTCTTCCTCCTCCTTTCTTCTACTCATTCTCCTCTATCATCTCCTCCTCCTCCTCCTTTCTTCTTTCTGTTCTCCTTCCTCCTCTCCTCCTCCTGCCTTTTCTTTCCCCTTTCTTTCCTCGTCTTTCTTCTCCTTTTCCACCTCCTCTTCCTCCTCCTCCTCTTTCCATACCCAAATCATCCCATTTGATCCAGCAACCACTCGTTGAACCCTATTATGGTCAGCTAGGTTTGGATGGATTTGCCAACCCCTTCTCCCTCTATCAGTTCTGGAAACACTACGATGTGTAAATGATATAACCCACTACAGTAGGCGTCTCTTTATGCAGGGATAGGCGTGGATCTGGGGGTGGTTGGGGGGGGGGGGGTAACGTGGCCTCACAGGTCTATGAATAAGTACTACAAAAGCCAATAATTAGCAGCTCTTTCTTTTTTTCCCTTCTTCTCTCTGAAGACATAAATGTGCAATTATCCCAAAGTCAGAAAACACTGTTTTTTTTCTGGAAAGAAAATGGAAAACCTTTAAGTGAGGATGGTAAATGAGCCTTTTGCAAACTGTTCACCTATTTGGAGAGCGAAGGGGCTTGAATCCTCTGCCCTGATGCCTCTGAAGGCCTTCCTGGCTCCACCAATGTGCTTTTTGCGCTTCCATAGATCCATAACGGCATGCCCAGATAGATCTCAATGGGATCTGCGCACTGACCCACTCTCACTGGGCCTGTCCTCCTTTATGCTGGTGCTGCAAACGGCAGGCTCCCGAGGCGACGCAAGCACAAATGTCTTAACTCGTTCCTCCTCGGTGCGTCCGTACCAAAGCGTCCTTCCTGTCTCGAGCGGGGGAACTCTGCCTCTGCCAAAGTGGAGCCGGTCATCGGAGCCTCTGCCCCTTTGCAACGTGGGTTCGTTCTGGCTGCTCCTCTCCCTGCACAAAAGCCCAATCGATTTCACCAAGTGCTCTTCTTCTTGCTCTTTTTGCGGCAGCCGTTTTTGTAAACTGGACAGTAACTGACTAGGTTGGGTTTTTTTTCTCCTTTATTTTCTTTCTTTTGATATACTAATACTGGAAGTATTGTAACTCCCCCCCCCCCATTTTGTGTACTTTTATCCTCCAACACTACATATCGATCAATAAAAAAGTTTTATTGTGTTAACTGCGGAGCGTTTTGTGGAGACTGTTTGAAAATAACCCTTAGTTGGGTGATTCCACCATAAATATAGCTGAGTACCAGAAGCAAACTTCATAACCAGCAGAAACTTACATGTAATGAGCTGGAATAAACTTCTATTCCTTAGGATGGCACAGGATTGCAGAGTCACAACTCTGATTTTGTCATTTGGGAGTTGTAGTTGCTGGGATTTACAGTTCACCTACAATCAAAGAGCATTCTGAACTCGACCAACAATGGAATTGAACCAAACTTTGCATACAGAACTCCCGTGACCAAAAGAAAATACTGGGTTTGGTAGGCATTGACCTTGAGTTTTGGAGTTGTAGTTCACCTGCATTCAGGTACAGCACTGTGGACTCAAACGATGATGGATCTTGACCAAAGTTGGCACAACCAACAACGGAATTGAACCAAACTTTGCACACAGAACTCCCATGACCAACAGAAAATACTGGAAGGGTTTGGTGGGCTTTGACCTTGAGTTTTGGAGTTGTAGTTCACCTACATCCAGAGAGCACTGTGGAGTGAAACGATGATGGATCTTGACCAAACTTGGCACGAATACTCAATATACCCAAAATGGGAACACTGGCGGAGTTTGGGGGAAATAGAGATTGACATTTGGGAGTTGTAGTTGGTGGTATTTATCATTCACCTACAGTCAAATAGCATTCTGAACTGCACGAACGATGGAATTGGACCAAACTTGGCATACAGAACTCCCATGACCAACAGAAAATACTGGAAGGGTTTGGTAGGGGAAATTCAGACAAGAAATAATCAGGGACAGCTAATCACCTCCCAACAGAGGATTCCCCTAGGTACTAAGAAGCCACACCAAAAAACTGCCAGGCCATTAAATGCTAATCGAGATGGCCATTTGAAACATTCACACCTACCTCCAACAGACGAGAGTTCTTTCCCCTACCCTGGACATCCACAGATATATAAACCTTACTTGCCTCATTTCCAACAGACCTCACAACCTCTGAGGATGCCAGCCATAGATGCAGGTGAAATGGCAGGAGAGAATGCTTCTGGAGCATGGCCAGACAGCCCGGAAAACTTATAACCCACTTCAAGAGGGATATTGACTCTAAGCTGGAAGATGTCCAGAGAAGGACGACTAAAATCAGAGGTCTGGAGACCAGGAATAATCCCTCTGAGGAGCGGTTTAGAGAGCTGGGTTTGTTTAGCCTCCAAAAGAGGTTGAGAAGAGTCATGAGAGTCATGTATAAATATCTGAAAGGATGTCATAAGGAAGGAAGAGACAACATCTGCCTTTCTGCTGCCCTGGAGACTAGGACTCAATGGAGCCATGGGTTCAAATGACAGGATAAGAGATCCCACCTGAACATCAGGAAGAAGGAAGGGTTGCTTACTTGTAGCCATATTTCTTTGAGTCATCTGTGAAATTTGCATATATGGATTTTCCGGCGCCTGCGCAGCCTCTCCCACTGGCTATATATCTCCATGGGGAGTGTGGGTGGGCTTCTGCCAAAATGTATCGTAGAGCTTCTTGTTTTTGTTGATCATTCGTTCAGTCGTTTCCGACTCTTCGTGAAATCATGGACCAGCCCATGCCAGAGCTCCCTGTCGGCCATCACCACTCCCAGCTCCTTCAAGGTCAATCCAGTCACTTCAAGGATCCCATCCATCCATCTTGCCCTTGGTTGGCCCCTCTTCCTTTTTCCTTCCTTTCCCCCCCAGCATCCTTATCTTCTCTAAGCTTTCCTTTCTTCTCATGATGTGGCCAAAGTACTTCATCTTTGCCTGTAATATCCTTCCCTCCAATGAATAGTTGTGCTTTATTTCCTGAAGTATAGACTGGTTGGATCTTCTGGCGCTCCAAGGCACTATCAGAACTTTCCTCCAGCACCACAGTTCAAAAGCATCTGTCTTCCTTTGCGTAGCCTTCCTTATGGTCCAGCTCTCATATCTGTAGGTGACTATGGGGAATACCATTGCTTTACCTATACGGATCTTCGTTGCCAGTGTGATGTCTCTACTCTTCACCATTTTATCGAGATTGGACATTGCTCTCCTCCCAAGGAGTAAGCATCTTAGAGCTTCTAGAAGATTCTGAACTGACTGCGCAGGTGCAGGAAAACCCATATGTGCAATTTCACAGAGACCACGATGAAGAACTTCCTTTCCATAAAGAGAGCTGTTCAACAATGGAACTCTCTGCCTTGAGTCTGGCAGAAGCTCCTTTGGAGGTATCTAATCAGAGGCTGGATAGCCATCTCAACGGATGTTTGATGGCCCTTTTCCTGCATGGCAGAAAGGTATTGGATTAGATGGCCTTTGGGGGACCCTTCCAACTCTAGGATCCTTTAAAAATACATTTGTAATACATTTGGGGTCTTGGGGCCAAATGATTGAATTGGAGTTTGAAGGATATTCTTATGTGCCAGTGCTATGAGCCGACTTTCTTGCACCATGAAAACTTTGCTTGCCTTGGTGTCATACATGTGGACTCACCACCACCAAGAACACGCCTTGCAATGAAGAAAATGCTTGCGGGGTTTAAAGAGAAATAATTTTTAAAATGAGGCGGATTAATCTTTAATCAATCCCCTTTTCTCGGCAGAAAGAGAGAAAAATGCGCCCCAAAGGCTGAGCAATTAGAAGACTTTCCCTTTCCACTCAAATGCAAATGAAGGTGCCTTGTGACTGCAGGAAAGAGGACGCCAAAGATCAAAGCCAAGCAACAACACTGGGAAGGGGCAGGATGACAGGAAAGAATAACCAAAACATTAAGAGATTTTTAATAAAGGCGGCAATGAGTTGAAGCCAGCGCAGAGGGTTCAATTAGCAGCCGATGGGCATTAGGGGCATTTTTGGGGGTCTGAGAAGGACTTGGAGGAGGCAAACACAGCGGCTTACCTGGGGAAAGCTGGAATATATCCAGAGGAGGGCAACTAAAATGATCCAGGGTCTGGAGAACAAGTCCTGTGAGGAGCGGCTTAAGGAGCTGGGCATGTTTAGCCTGAAGAAGAGAAGACTGAGAGGAGACATGTTAGCCATGTATAAATGGGAGTCACAGGGAGTCACAGGGAGGAGGGAGCAAGCTTGTTTTCTGCTGCCCTGGAGACTAGGACGCAGAACAATGGCTTCAAACTACAAGAAAGGAGATTCCATCTGAACATGAGGAAGAACTTCCTGACTGTGAGAGCCGTTCAGCAGTGGAACTCTCTGCCCCAGAGTGTGGTGGAGGCTCCTTCTTTGGAAGCTTTTAAACAGAGGCTGGATGGCCATCTGTCAGGGGTGCTTTGAATGCAATATTCCTGCTTCTTGGCAGGGGGTTGGATTGGATGGCCCATGAGGTCTCTTCCATCTCTATGATTCTATGAAAGGTGGAACCAAAGGGAAGAGTCAACAGTGAACTTGATGGACGTACTGAAAGAAATGCAAGGAGACACAACAGACACAGAGTGCAAGGGTTCTTCTGACAAACGGCCATCCAGCCATTCACACACACAGATACATATGTATATGAGAGATGGAGTATCATAGATTTGAACGGGACCCCTAAAGAAGGACAGTTATATGCTGCATGTTCCAGAGTAGGCAAACCAGACTATCTCCACATCAACACTGACAAAGAAACAGCAAGAAATACTGTTTAATAATAATAATAATACTTTATTTATACCCCGCCACCATCTCCCCAAGGGACTCGAAGCGGCTTACATGAGGCCAAGCCCAACAACACATCAATCAAAACAACAAGCAATAAACAAAATAAACGATACAGTTAATATAACTCACACATAGACAATAACTCACAAGGATTTAAAAACCTATGGCCGGGCCAGATGTAATAGTTAAAACTTTAAAAAAAAATGCTGGACATGAACAGAGGATGTATCTAGTAGGAGGGTTTTAAACGAAAAGTAGAAAGCAACCCAATGGGTAATTAAAGTGCTTCTCAGGATATTTTGCAGGGAATTGTTTCCTTTATTCAGGGAAGCCACACTGGAACAGCCACGTTTTCAGGTTCCTCCTAAAGACTGCCAATGTAGGGGCTTGTCTGATATCCTTGGGGAGTGAGTTCCAGAGTCGGGGGCCACCACCGAGAAGGCCCTCTCCCTCATCCCCACCAATTGCACCTGCGAAGGAAGTGGGAGCGAGAGCACAAGCATAAAGAAATTACATATATTAGAAACCAACACTTTCTCGTTACTTTATTTTCCAGATCACCAGACTGGGTTACAGCAACGCCTGGCTGGGGACAGCTATTTGGGTGACATCAAAGTCCTCTTTATGGCACCCAAATAGTCATTTCTTCCCAGGGTGAAGAAGAGCATCCATTGGGTAGAAGCAGCCTTTGTGGTTCTGTCGCTTAGGAATATTAGTTCCTAAGTATCAATGCCAAACTCCAAACTGGGGGGAAACCCAATTCTAAAAATAAAAAAAAGTTTTGACCTAATATTTGGAAATTCAGTGTCCTGTTCCAAAAAAGAACTTCAAAGAGGGACGCATTCAAATGTTAGTTTGCAGTTAAGTAGTATGACCTAAACAACAACAGTCCCATGGAAAGGGAGCAAAAGCATGTTCCAGCTTCCCTCTTGAGAAAGCAAGGCCTATGTCTGAGACACAAATCGGCTATTAAGAACTAGCTATCCCCTGCCACGTGTTGCTGTGGCCTAGTCTCGTGAGCTAGAAAATAAAGTAATGAGAAAGTGTTGGTTTCTAATATATGTAATGTCTTGATGCTTGTGGGTTAAAAGTATTTCTTGCTGTTTCTTTGTCAGTGTTGTTGTGGAGATTGTCTGGTTTGCCTACTCTGGAACATGCAACATATAATTGTCCTTTTTGGGGGTCCCTTTCAAATCTATGATACGATATCTGTGTGTGTGTGAATCATATATATCTATCTATATCTATGGCCGGATGGCTCTTTGGTCAGGAGGGATTTGATTACATTTTCTCGCCCTGCTGAACCGAGTTAAACTGGATGGCCTTAAGAATTTTCT